GTGAGTAACGACGGCACATGATAGTGAGTGAAAAGGTGAAAATTCCCACAATGTGACGGAAAGCGTGCAAGTGTAGAGCAGCCAATTGAAGGGCGCGCTGGACCGAAAAGATTCGATATCAAGTGGTGCCGCCGCACTGTGCGATCCTTTAGGTCTTGTAGCCAAAATGCTATTACCCGCTCGTAGGTAATTCAAAACCTATGTTGTTAAATTACATAGGGGATGCTGAAATAACTAAGCCAGATTATCAGAAGTGGCTTAAATGACTGGAAAGCCTTAGCTCGGCTACAGTTTTGCATGAAGTAAGTGTTTGTTAAATAACATTTCTCTCCTGGGAATACGTATTTTGTGGAGCATCATAAATCGGTGACGGTGCAGTAGAATAAATGGAATTCGCGAGCGTATCATCGTTTTGCTTTTGATGGGGAGAATGGCGAGTGAATCCTCAAAGGGCCACAATCACAACATTGTCTGGCTTAGTGACAGCTGTTCTTGCCTGCAACTCATGAAACGAATCACTAGTTCACAGTTTGCGTGATTGCCCTGGACAAGCTCTAACTTGGAGTTACAAATAATCAAAAATACACCTTCCCACCTTCCCACGCTTGTTGCTAATGCGGTTTGGGTGATGTGAAATCGAGTCAAAAAAGCCAATGTAGGCACTGCCCTCTTAAAAAGAACGCAGCTACTGCTGCATCTGGAAGGGCCTGCAGCGCATTATCCAGAGAAATGAGATTGTGGTTAAGTGGTCCATCAGTTTCGTATGCACCCGAGTTACCGTGGTCAGCGAACCCGACCGTTTGGTCACCGATTGCAGATTTTTTTATTACACACTTTAGTGCAGACAAGTAGATAAATATAAGGTGACCATGAAAGAGAAGATAAGGAAAGACCCAGTAGGTTGCATGATTCTGTGGAACGGAGAGTGTTCGAGTTGAAATTCAAGGAAGGGGAGAAAGATGCGTGTTCAAGAGAAATGGGCATAAGGGAGATTTTACTGACATTGAATCGAACACGGTTGCTACATCCCTAAGCAGAGATAAGGCCCAAATCAGAATTTAGTTAGAAACTCAAGGAGGAGCGGTTGTCTCTAATGCTGGAGTTAGTGATGCGCGAAGAGGAATAGGATCTTATCTAATCCGTTTGTTTTTCATTTAGTAAATGTATCTCTTCTTTTTCCAGTGCTTAACGTTTTCCTCACTGTAACTTGTCGAAACTGCTGAAAATTCATCCTATTGGGTGCACAAAGCTTAAATTGACTTAAGTGTAGAGTAGCATCATCGGCAAAGGCGTGAATATGATTTGAAGTTGAAGAAAGGTCGTCAATAAACATTAGAAAAAGGGAAGGGGAAAGTACAGAACCTTGGGGAACACCAGCATTCACAGGCACGGAACGAGACATGGTCCCATCTAGTCTGACGGAGATGCTGTGGTCCTTGAGGTAGCTTGCTGTCCAGTACACAAGTTCCGAAGGAAAGCCAAACTTAGGTAGTTTAGCCAGCAAACTGGCGTGCCAGACACGATCGAAAGCTTTCGATATATCCAATGACGTTGTATGGGTTTCTCCATGGCTGTCGAGTGCCGCTGACCATGTATGCGAAATGAGCGCCAGAAGATCACCGGTAGATCGATGGGATCGAAAACCGTACTGGCGGTCACTAAGCCTGTTGTTCTGCTCCAGGTGATGGCGGAGTTGAACAGCAACAACTGATTCCATAACCTTCGAAATGACTGGTGTGAGCGATGGGGCGGTAGCTGTTTGGGTCAGAGTGGTCGCCGCGTTTGGGGATGAGAAATATTTCTGATATTTTCCATGGGGTTGGTGTAGACTTCACATGCTACAACGATCCACTTAGGGTGACGCGCAAAAACCCCGGAAGACGGTGTCTTTCAACAATGTTTTTTTTTCTACAAAAGCGGTACTGAAATACAGATTACAATAGTGTAAAATATGCAAACCTCAAACTGTGGCACTAGCCGATTAACAAACACCGGAATCTGTGAAGCCAGTAATTCGACAAGCAAGAACTGCGAGCAAGCAGGCGCGCAGTGCGATGACAACAGAACGAATACACTGAACAATGTCGAACAAGATCACATGAATCTGTGGTGGTCAATGGTGAGCAGTGACCTAGAGGGAACCAATCAAAACACAGTGGGTGTGAATGTTAGTCATCAGGGCCCGCCGTGACAGGACAGTGCGGTGAATCGGTGTAGGCGTGCGTGTGTGTGTGCACAAGTGTCAGAGTCAGTCGATCATGGCGACAAGTCGATGAGATGGGTGAGACCGATAGAGGTCAACATACTGGGGCAAACATACTAATAGTGCGTGTGTATGTGTAAACGGCGTGGAGAACAGTCATAGGCACGGATCAATGAGGGGATGAAATCAACATTACATGGTCAAAGGAAGACAATGGACAATAGGATAGCGGTGATGGGTGTATGTGAAGGGCGTCAATATGGGGCAAAATTTATTCTACAGTTTGGAATATCTCGGAATTGAGAGATAGACAGAATAAGCGACGTAAGAGTGGTGGTTCTGGTGCGCACATTTTGAGGACAATGGGAGGAACCCACGTCGGGTCCAGGTGGCTTGTGTGAGTCCAACGACAAGAGGATCTGATGTATCTTTCTGGTGGAAATGAGCGATGTGAAAAGATGGTTTGCCGCAGGGTGTGTGAAGGGTTGGATGGATGATTCGAGAAGGGTGGAATTGGAAGCAAACAGTTCTGCTTTTTCCAACGGGTCGGATACTAAGTCACTAGATGATTTAACAATGGGTGGGAAGTTAGTGGAACAGAAGTTACGGGAGACTGCCTGGGCTAGTAACCAGAACGTTGGGCTTCCAGAAGGAGCGGTCGCCAATTGTGCTGCCTTGCACTCAACAAAGTGCTCCTTAAGATGGTTATACTTTTGGCACGTACTATCAAGAACCATTGGCGGGAGCTGGGGAAAGGTGACCGCCGCCAGCGGCGAAATGCTGATTTCATTTTACGAACAGTGCGACAACAGGTGTGGTTGAACCATTCTGGAGAAAGAGGCTTACCTGATTACATTGAAATGAGGAATAAATAGGTGCATGCCTTGCAAAAGAACTTTGGAGAAATTCGAGGCGAAGATATCGGCGGAAAAGCAACATTCATTTCAAGGGTAGGAAGCGAGAAAGTCATGAAAGCTGCACCATGATTATCAAATTAGAGTCCCTAACAGTACATAAAACGAGAAAGGTCACCAAGATGGTCAACAAGCTAAGCCGAACTAATTATTTCAAAAACGAAGCATGACTGTTAAAATTGGGACCTGCATGAAATGTGAGAATCTCAAACGTGAAAATGCTCAGACTGGCTTTGTATGTTAACATGCTCTACCCCGGCGGCAGAGCTGCGTTGCCCTATACTGAATAAACTTTTGGTCTCAATCTCTTGTGGTTTGATCCTTGATGTGCTTGTGAAGCACTATCACGAAAGGTAAGAACACACTGGCGATAGCCACGTCGTGGTGTTCATCAGGAGAGAACCTTGAGTATGTAAGAGTGATCGTCCCAAGTGTTTCAAATGCCAAGGTGTTCCCAAGCCACTTGCTTGATTGTCGATCAGAAGGATAATCTACCACTTTGAAGTATGGAGTCCATTGCTTTGGACCGGTTCGAGTCAATGGATGTGCCTACCTCTTCATTTGCATAAAGACACTAAAAACACAGCTTGATGTCAATGTACCGCTGTTTAGAAACGTCTGCACCAGAAACTGTTGAGTTTTGAGATAGACTGGTATTTTCAGTCAGCCGATGCTAGTAATCGTGCAGGTGGTTGTGAACATTAAAACTACCAGTGTAGTGCGGTACTATTCTCATTTTCGAACTGTATGTTTGATGCGCGCTTGAAGGGCGGAGGGTGTATTCTCACGGGACTCAAAAATGAACAAGAAATCTGGGAGTCAGCTAAAGGATTTACTATTGTGTCAAAAGAAGATGCGAAAAGAATGTCGAACTGTTTGACCACAAGATCCTTGTCCGTAAACGCAGAATCAACAAGCTGTTTCTAGCTTGAATGTCCCCTTTTACTACATTCACTTGAGGAATAAAAAATTTCATAATAGTTCTCGGTCATTGTGACGACAGAGTGCGCATATTTATACATTTCCAACTGGCTTTGTTATAAGAGTAAAGGAAACCCGGTCCTCAATCTAAGTTTGTACAAAAGTACTGAGATATAAGATATACTTGATCCACCCATTCACAAACCAAGCACGATGCATTTTCGTTAGTGTGTTCGGGATGAAATTTATGAAGTGAATGATTAGAAAACGTCGGTATTTTGTCCTGCACGATTTAAAAACATCTATTATTACGATTTTTGCACGATGCTGCACCGCGATGGTTTCCTTTCCACCGAGGTGCATTTACTTTGGGCGCAAATCATCACATTTAAGAACCGAACACATCTTTGTCTCCTCGATAAAATTTCATTTCTTACTTGGGTATCGACGTGCGCATAAGCAGGTGACGAATCGCAATGTCCACCAGACGTTTTCGCTCTGCCGTCATCATAGAGGATTAACAAATTGATACAAGAACAACAAGAATATTCGATCAGATAACAAAACGTTTATTCAAGTTCACTTCGTTTGTGATCGAAAAGCAATGTATCACTGTGAGTTCATTCCACTTCATCATCCAAATCGTCTGCATCCTCTAATGCCTGTTTCGCGAACGTTTCGGCTTCTTGGAACAATGGTTGTGGGACAACTGTGTGGACACCTCCACTACCTAATATACAGTCAATGGTTAGTTGCACAAAACGCAGGCTTACATTCACCAACCCAGCTCAAGTCCAATTCAAAGTGTTTGTCCTTGATTTCGTCATGCACTGTGTAAATTCTAAATGAAAACAAGACGAATCAGTTGGATGAGGAAACAAGATCTCTCTCTCTCTCTCTATATATATATATATATATATACATATATATATATATATACATATATATAT